AGCATTTTATTTATTTATTTTACGGTAAGACTTGTAGATTTATGTATAACATTATACTTGTGTTTAGTAAATTCCTTATGTTACGAAACTGATGTCATAATCTATTTACAATTCTGAAATTAACTATTCCATCTATTGTATGAAATTAACTATTATTAATTCCATCTCTCACCGGGCATTCACCCCAATGTTTATCTTTATTTTTAGGCAAAAACAATATTATTATTAAACATTTAGTTTTTTTTCCAAAAAAATAGAATTACTATTTCTCAACTTTATTCGGTTTTAACTACTCACCGAGAGTTAATCTTTGATTTTAATTTTAAGCTGAAAAAAGAAGAAGAAAAAAGGAAAATAAAAAAATAAACGAAATCTTGTAGTTTTTAATTTCTTCTTGAATATTTTTTTTAACGTTGAAATGAATCATTCTTAAGGAATAATTGAATTTCACACGATAGGCGATCAATTGGAACTGTGATAGTTCTGAGGATGAACCTCATCATTCATTTTGGACAAATAAAACTTTTTTTAATGTTTAAACTAAAGAAAGTCTTTTTTCTCTGGTAGTCGTTGCTTTGATGTCTATTTGAAAAGAATGAAAAGGTTATCAGCAGAAAGTTTATTTGTGTTTGTTAAGTGCCTTATAGTTCAAGGTAAGAGTTCAAATTATATATGAATTTTTAGATGTTAATTATGTTTTTTAGTTTCTAATATTAACTATGTGATGTAAAAGTTTTACGTTAATTTTCTTTCCAAAGTAAACATATCGCTCATCCGGTGAAACAACGACGTAACTGTAACATCAAGTTGCGTCACTGTTTCACCAAATGAGCGATATATAGAACACTCTATTCTCGTTAAAATATCGAAAGAGATGCTAAAAAAATAATAACAAATAAAATAAATAAATAAATAAATAATTTATCCAAATTTATCCTTTTTTTTGCCATTGGTCGCTGTTTTTCAAAGGAGAAATAATATTTTTTATATCGCTCATTTGGAGAAACAGTGACATAACTTGATTTTCCCGTTTCGTCGTTGTTTCACCGGATGAGCGATATAATGATTGATTAATTCTAGTACCCACATCAAAAGTAAAAAGCTTTACATTTTTTTTATTAGTGTAAGAACAATGTTATTTTCATTCTTTTTAGTTTCTGCTTTATTTCAAAAAACTATGGGGGTTAAGAGTGTATTATTTTTTTCCAGAAATCGACAATAAAAATATTTTCTACTATCGACTTAAATTTTTAAAAAAAAATCGCTCATCGACAGTGACGTAACTTGATTTTGTACTTACGTCATTGTTTCACCGGATGAGCGATATAATCATTGATTAATTCTGGAACCCACATCAAAAATAAAAAGCTTTACATTTTTTTAATTAGTGTAAGAACAATATTATTTTCATACTTTTTAGTCTTTGCTTTATTTCAAAAAACTATATGAGTTTAGAGTGCATTATTTTTTTCCAGAAATCAACTAATAAAAATATTTTTTACTATCAACTTAAATTTTTAAGAAAAACTGACATATTTTATTAAAAAAATTTATAAAAATATATTTTCTAACAGATTTTGTTAAAAAAATTCATTTTGTCAAATAAAATTTATTAGGGGAAAAAAACAAGCAAATTTAATTCTAATTTCGGTTATAACGCTAGGCCAAATAGTTTATATCAGTTTTAATTTAAGCCCTTCTTATTTGGGCTAACCGCAAAAGGTTTTTGGAGTTCTTCACTCCATGAATTAGTGTTACTGAAGTCTTCCATGGAAATGACTGTATAAATCATGTTCAAAACTACAAGTTAAACGAGTTGTAGCATTGCAGATATATGAATCATATGTTCAGCTCTCCTGGTTGAAAAAAGAAATTATTTTACATAAAAAAGTAAAAAATAAATAATAAAAAAAATAAAGCATAAAAACTGTATAAAGAAGAAAATTCAAACGAAAAAAATAATGTCACTGAACACAGAAATATCATAATATTTATTAATAAACTATTATAATAAAGAGGCTATTATTTTTTAAAAAATGAAAACATGATCATTTATCAGAAATAATCACTTAATGTCGGTTTTCAGAAGTGAGATCATGCGAATTTTATTTGTTAATTATGTGGTTTAGTTTCTAATATTAACTATGCGATGCAGAAATCACTAGAGAGCAAAAATGTCATGATTGAATATTTCGTGTACCCTGATAAGAAATGAAAAGATTAGAATTTTTTTTTTCATAATTTAAGAAATATATTATTTTTATTCTTTATTTGAAAACTTGCTTTATTTAAAGCACTCATTGCATTGATTAATACTAAATTTTAATTATAAACGTTTTTTCTCAGAAATCAATGAATAAAAAGACTTTTTATTATAAGTTTTAATTTCCCGAAACTAACAAACAAAAACAAATTTTACTATAAATTTCGATTACAATGCCACGACAGATAGTTGATATCAGTTTTAATTCGAGCCCTTTATTTTTGGGCAAAGTACAAAAGATATTCCCTCCATGAATTAGTATTATGAAGTCTTCCATATAAACTACTTCGTGTATAAATCAAGTTCAAATTTATAAAATCGCTTAATTCAAAAAATAACTAAATAAAAAAGAAAGAAATTGCAGTATCTGCAAACATATAAGTCATATTTTCAGCGCTCATGGTTAAAAAAAAATCGTTCAATTAAGAAAATAAATAAATAAAAAAGGAAGAAAGCATTAAAACTGTGTAGTGAAAAAAATACAAACGAAAAAAGAAACAATACTGAACACAAACCAACATAATATTTATTAAAGAAATAATTACAATAAAGAGACTACTAATTATTTTATAAATTAAAACATAATCATTTATCAGAAACAATTACTTAATGTCAGTTATTTCCAACAATTTTTATTCCAAACACATTTGAATAATGACATTGCTGTTATCTATCATCTAATTTAATAAAGGTTTACTGCCACCATATTTCTTTCAGTACCGCTTGTAACCTCTAAAGCAGAAACAGTGATTTCTGCTTGAGTAACGATACTGTTGCCACCATACAGAAAAAGCTTTTAATTTATATTCCATGAATCTTACGGTGCCAGTAATAGGCCATTTTTAGTCTTTCAGATGACGTGACTTCGACGTTACGTCGTATCATTATCACCTTTTGTTATCTATCGCTATCATTTCCGTAACGGTCTGTTTCAAACGGCATTGAAAGTGGACATTAAAGATTTATGCCTTGCGCGCGAGAATGGAAGGTTAACTGTACATGTTTTCTTCATAATTTTTCGCTGAAAAAAATAGCGTTTGTAAACGTTCCGTTTTTTAAATGTTGTCATTGATTTTTTTCTTCATAATATAAACATGAAAGATGCGCAAATCTGTTGTAAATGAAGGTGTAGAAGTCTTTTGAAAATATTAAATGCTCTTTTTTTTTCTATTTATGTATTTTCATTGTCAAAAAAAAGTCTTGATATTAAAATAAATTTCCATTCGAAAATGCACAGACTTTAAAGTGAGTTGTTTTGTATAATATTTTACTGTATAAAAATTAAGGTATTTCAGTTTTTTTGTTCCGTAAAATTTTGAGGTAAAATGAATTTAGCGGAATAAAAGTACTGGCACCTTGAATGCAAGTACGTAATTTGTTCTTGAATTTTTTGCAGTGTAATACAGGAAAAATTATGCATTTCAATTCTTAAAAAAAATTTCTGCATCGTACGATATTTTAAATAATATATTTCTTTAAATGTTGATCATAAAATAAAACCCTTTAGAATCAAATAGTAAGAAAAGGGTACTTCAATAAAATTTCTTACCGTAGAATTTATTATTTTGTATGCATTTCAATCCAACGAGTGTAAAACCAATAATAACTTTACACATACAATCGCTTTGTGAAGGCATACAAAGCAAAAAAATCCTAGAAAATTATTTATTTATTTTGAGTGTTAAAACATACCAAATGTTATCCAATATATTAAACGCTGGGTCTTTGGAAGTTAAGAAGAAGTAAGACAATTATAAAATTACCCAGACAATCGCTTTGTGAAGGCATACAAAGCAACAAAAAAAAATACTAAAAATTTTTTTTATTTCTTTTGAGTGTTAAACCATACCAAATGTTATCCAATATATTAAACGCTGGGTCTTAGGAAGTTAGGAAAAAGTAAGACAATTATAAATTTACCCAGACAATCGCTTTGCGAAAGCATACAAAGCGATACTAGTCTTAAAACATTATTTTTTATTTATTTTCTTGCTTTTATTTATTTTAGCCATAAAATAGTACCAAATGTTATCCAATGCATTGAACGCTGAGTCTTACAAAATTAAGGAAGTTTTTTAGGAAGTTCTTGTTTATTTATTTATGTATGCATTTATTTGAATGATAGAACAGTACCAAATGTTGTACAATATATTTTACCCTGGATCTTAGAAACTTAAGACGAGGTTGGACAATTATAATTTTGCACAGATAATCGCTTTGTAAAGGCATAAAAAGCGAAAAGAATTCTTAAAACATTATTTTTTATTTATTTATTTATTTTTGAGTGACAAAATAAAATCAAATGTTATCCAATATATTAAACGCAGGGTCTGGGGAAGTTAAGACTGAGGTTGTTTTAATTGGCAGCTCAGGACATTCCTTGTCTTCTAAATTCAATTCAAATTTACAAAACTATGGAGTTGAACATTGAGAACCACACTTCTGCTATATGAATTATATTCTCAATCCCAGTATAAAGTGAACTATAATGTGCATTCAAATGAAAAGTGAGGTGCACGAGTCATATTTTTAACAAAGAGGCATTAATGATGACACACATTTTAGAATTAAGACCATTTATTAAAATTTCAAAAGAAAAAAATGTATAAACCATTTGTATAAAGAAAGGCAAAAATACAACAAATACAAAAATACAACAAATACGAAAAGTATATAAATGATGCATGAACAGAGTTTTTGATACAAAAAAATATGCTCATACAAACAGTATAAAAAATTAATACTTTTTTTACTTACTCCTATTTTTTTTTATTTAAAGCATTTTAACATACAACTAAATTTGTATTTTAGAAGTTTTTATATTTCAAGCATTGTTATGCTAAACAAACTACAGTAAACACGCAATAGTGTTAATATAACACTATATAAACAACTTATGTAAATAAACTTAAATATATAGTAGTTAATATAACTGAAACAAAGCTTGACACTTATGCTTTAATAATCTGCTTTTTTGATTAAATGAATGTAAAAAGCTGGATCTTGCACTGAATCTAGAGACTTGAAATCTCCATAAATTGTATGTTCTGCATTGCCACCAAAAACTTCTTTCAACAATTTTGAAAACTCTTTCAATTTGTGTGGATAATATGACAATCTAAAATGGCTGCAAAAATAAAATAAAATTTAAGAATTCATAAACAACAATTTTAATATTTAATAAACAATAGAAAAAAATAATATTTTTTTAAAGAAAAGGAAAGGCACCGCTAGTAAAACTGCACAGTCCTGTCTCCCTAATATGACCACCTTTCAAAAGCCAGAATATCCACATCTCGCTGTGTAAACGCTGCGAGATACGCAGGAAGAGAATTAGTTGAGAAACGCAGACGCGCATCTGAAAGTGTTCACTAGTAGTTGTGCCATGCCGACTGCAGTGCAAAGGCCAGCTGCACTAGGTTACGCTTTTGATGATCTATGGCACGAACAGGTGTGGCCACACAAATCCTCTATTGAGTTTAAATTCGATGGGTTTTGTGACTAGAAGAGTATAGTAAACCCATCCTGGTACTTTTTGAACCACGCACGTTTGCTACTAACTGTATGACACGTCGCATTGCCCGCCTGGTAGATTCCATCTTCCGGAAGAAAAACAAACATCATGTAAGGATGGACATGGTCTGCAAGGACAGATGCGTACTTGCATTGTTCTATCGTACCTTTCACAATGATAAGTTCATTTGTGACGACACGAAAACATTCAAAAGACCATAATTCTCTGTCCTCTATCTTAGACCCTTCGGGCACATTGCTGGGTGTACGCTTTCAAACGATTTACGCAGTATGCGCCAACATCCATCTGTCTGATGGAGCATAAAACGTGGTTCATCGAATAAAGCAACATATCTCCATTCAGTGTCCAGTTGCAATGCAGGAAATTCTAGTATTTCCAATTTTTTCCTTTGGAAAAATGTAGAGAGGAACAGTTTGTCACTACCCTTAAATATATATTTTGAATCCTTTTCAAGAAAAAAGTAAAATAATTATTCACATTAGGGATCGCCAAACAATATAAAAGCAAGTAAGAAACAAAACTATTATCGAAGCCCATCGAATCAGGAAGACTAGACGAAAAACATCTGAACCAGTTTGATTGCCTGATGTAAACTAAAAGTGTCTCTAATAATCACCTTTTATCCCCTTTCTGATTCTTCTGACAATCAAAAAATTTCAGATATTTTTAGATCCACTTTCTTCAGTAGTGATTTGTTAAATTTTTATGGTATTTTTGTTCTTTCCTTGCTTCAATATTAATTTTCTACCCATGAAGTAATTTTTTACTGTATTTTTGACAGGGATCTTAAAAATATACATTAAGGGTGATCTTAATAAGAATTCAAAGTATTTGATGATGGAAACTGGTTTTCAAAGATTTTATATGAAAACTTCAGTTCAATCATATTTCAACATTTTTCCACAAAATAATTTATTCCAAAAATGTTACAAGTATTTTATTTACATTTCAAAACTTTAAAATACTAAAAAATTGAAGAAACGGGGTAGTTTAAGCCATTTAAATAACTAAACTATCGCTTTAATGCAAAAACAACGTGAAGAACTTGATAAAGTAAAAAAAAAAATTTAAAAAAACTTGAAATTAATTATAACCTTAAAACTAATTAAGCAATTTTTTTTTACTTTTCATATAACGAAAGGTATTGATTTATTTTACTGCTAACGGCTTTAAACTCTAAGTTTTTATTCTCATTCGAAATCTCAAATTTTCTAAGTAATTATATAAAAAATCAGAATTTTAAAAATTATCTTGAAATAGCTGCTTACAAAGCTTATTATTTAATTTCAAGAAAACCTATGTTTTTCCCTTGTTTCATCGATTTTTTTCTGACATTTTAGTATCAACTTCAGTGATTTTTAAGCATTGGTTCAAAGAAAGAAAAAACATCTCGCGCTGATTTATTTGACCTACATGAATGTTTATTTTAGAATATTGCCTTGTCATATTTCTCATTTTAATATCTCTAATGACTTATACTGAATAATAAAGCTGAATCATAGCTAAGTTATCATGATACAAACACTTGGCGGATTTGCTGTGTCAGGAAACGATAACTTATTTGATAAGTGTGACATAGAAATAAAATGACGCTTGTGACGTAAATATTTATTATTATATATTTACTAGACAGATGCATATTATTTTGCAATCTATTACGTAGATATTTCTTACTTTATATTATTACCGTAAAAAATTATTAGTCTTTGAATTTTTTTAATTTTCCTATTTTATTTGTCTGGAATTTCTAAAATTTCCTGTCTGGAATTTCTGGAAATATTACGTAGCCAAATTCCTTGCGTTGTTTTATTTCTTTTCAAATGTACTATTGCACCTTAAAAATTAATCGCTAGTTTTTTTTTCACTTGAATCCGCAGTCTAGAACTAGACGAGCCAACGTTGGACGACAGTATATGAATAAATCGTTATTAAACTGACTTGAAAAAAATGTAATTAAGAAAGAAATGCAAAACTTAAAATGAACCAGAATAATATAAATCAGAATATTAAAAATTGTGACAACAGCAATATGAAGAAAGAAAAAAATCATGAAAATTATAATTGCTCGCTGGAAAGAGCTAGATGAATCAACGATAAATAATAGTATATGCAAAAATCTATCTTAAACTAACTTGGAAAAAAAACTGTAACTAAAAGAGAAATGCAAAACTTGAAATAAACCAGAATAATATAAATCATTTTGCAAATTAAAAGTAGAATACAAACGAAAACCAAGTTTTATTTTAATTAGATTATAAGCACCTTAAGCAAAAAAAAGAGTGTTTAGGAGTACAAAAATGGTAATGAAAAAAGCACCTCTTTAATTGAATATTTATTTTAAAATAATTGATATAAGCTTATGAAAAAAAATTATATTTGAAAATCTGGTTTTAAATAGTGATTGGAAAAGATTAAATTTGTAATAATTTTTTTTCTATTAATTACTTTTATTTCCGTTTCATTTTTTTTTGGTGGGTACTTTTTCTCCGATGTTTTTTTGTTTGTTTTTTTAAATTCGTTTGAATGCTGTAATTCAGATCTTTAAAAAAAATTAACAATAAGATTGGCCTCATTCTTTCTAAAAACTGAAAATATCCCTTTGGGAAGAATCCTGGTTCGGATATTTTTATTGTAGTGAAATTTTTATTCCATAATTTCATTAAATGAAAATATTCAAGACCTACTTCAAATAACATAAACATTTAAAATAATTTCAAAATCAAATTACTGTTCTATTCTAATTTACAATTAATTCTATTATCTAATAAATCTAATTCAAATATCGATGAGAAATACATAATAACCTATACATTCGAACAGCAATAACTTCTGCAATAAATTTACATTAAGGAAAAAAATGGTTAGATATTGCAAAGATGCCAAATGTTTAAAATAAAAATTTTTAGAAAAATTTCCACAAAAAAATTACAAACAAGGCTATTTTTAATACTCACTCAATTGGATTGCCATGATATCTTCCTTTTTTCGTGTATTCGCTATCAGTTCGATCGAAACTACCAAGGATGTCCGAAATGTCCATGGTATAGTCCAGCATAACCATTTTTGGATTTTCCCCAGAATACAGAATGGATGTCTGGATGTCTTTAATATGCTTACTCTAAAAAAGAGTAATAAATGTTTTAAAACAGCAGCAGAAATTATTTTTTTAAAATGTAGGCAAAAGTTCTTGACGATAAAACTTATCTTTATGCCGAATATTTACTTTTTATTCGCAGATCTTATAACCAAATACGTTTAATTAAATACTTAAATTTTTCGATACCTTCAATTAAATTTTTTTTTTCATTCTTTGATTTTAATATGCAGAAAGCTAAATAACAATGGGGAACAATTTTTTTTTCCTGTTGCATGGGATTTTTTTAACTGATCTTAAATACTAGGGGGACCGGAAAGTAATGTTGTTTTGGTGTGTTTGATATTTGTTATCAAGATTTTGTTTTTCATCAATAATGTATTTACTCTCGTTAGCAACAACATTTCAATGCCGGATCGAAAATGAATCGAAATGGATCGAGAAAAAAAATGAATTGGTTTTTAAGACTAACGAGTAATTAATGCGCCGAAGCGACCTTACTTACCAGTCCCCCATATATTTTGATCGTATCAATGATTTCAAATCTGCAATCGCTTTCTCTCTCCAAGTTACAGGTTTCTTTTTTTAAATGACATTTTTAGTCTTTTTTGGTGGGGAAATGTAAAAGTTTAAAAACAATGTCTGTAACAGGGGATCGAGTAAATGTTGCGACAAGCTTCTTGTGAGTAGGCAAACAATCAGGATTAAATTTGTATGCAGACCCATGCTCGGAATTGCCATCATACGCTACTAGGGGCGTTTCCCTATTATGAACTATTTCTTCATATGCATCTGAACAGGTCATAATTGGGAGGCACCCCTAACTGAGTACGACGACATTTCTGAGCTTGGGTTCCTGTGCAATTTTAATCTTGATGATGTGTAATAACTCCCACAGTATTTTGTCGTAACATCAAGGTGACCTCCTGTTATAAATAGCATTTTTAAACTTATGTATTTCGACAAAAAGGAGGTTAAAATGTCATTTAAAAAATAAAACAAAAAAATTTGTAGCTTTAGGAACAAAGCTAATTTGAAATCCCCACACTGGAATCAGGCAAGATCAAGTTTTTAAATAAATGCAACAAACAATTTGATCTCCACTGTAATTTTTACCTTTTGCATGTTTCGTTTTTTATTCCTAAGTATGGGTATTTAAGTTACTTATAAACAAACTGAACAAGATAGAACCAACCATTTTACTTTTATATTCGAATATCTATTATTAAACACAGTTTTTTCTCATACTGCAAATATTTAGTTTTATAATGTAAGTTATTATTTATAATAAATACAGTTTACTTTTAAAAAGTACAGTTTTGCTTACTTTTAAAAAGGGCTTTAAAGACTGAGCTGGTTATTACATATTTGTTTTTACTTTATAAATGTGCAATAGAAATCTAGAAAAACAGCAAAAACGGCATATATTTCTGTAAATTATTTTTATCTATTTTTTCTGAAACATAGTAATGTGTCTCCTTGTAAAAAAAAAAAGAAGAAAAAGAAGATAAACAAATAATAAGGTTGAAAATAAAGATAATCTTGCAGAATTCTAAAAAATATTAAAAATTTCCAAATAAATCTTAAACATTTTTAATGCTATTGTTCTCAATTGTTACGTGTGTAATTGATATTGTTCTTACAAGTAAAATTTATGCGAGTTTAGATTGAAGCTTTACGAGTAAAGAATAAAAAAATTATATTGAATCCAGAAATATTTTATTGACTAATAAATGTATATTTTACAGCAGAGGTATTCTTTATTGTATTATGAGTAATATTTAATTTTGGATTTCTTTTCTTTCATATGCATGTCTTCGGGTTCTTATCAATAACATAATAAAATATTTCATACGTAGAAAGCAATTTTTCATTCTTTCATCGTTTTTTCATTTCTTCTTATAATAAATTTCAAAACTTATATAAAAAATATTGAAAATAATCTTATTTTCGTAACTGTTCAAGCATAATCGAGATTTTTTTAAATTTTAATGCATTTTAAATTAAACTTAAAATAATTATAATTTTTAGAGACGATGAATTTTATTCTGTTTCCTATATCCCACCTTTTTCGCTTTATTTGTGATAATGTTTAACTGAATCATTTTTCCCCAGTTCTTCCTTCTTCAGTAGCACGAGCAAATAATAAAATTTTCATGAAAAAATTTTGTTTCTCTCATTAAAAAAATATTCAAATATTTTAAATGTTGCATTTGTGAAAAGCACGAGTTGAATTATTCATTGAAAGCCAGCTTTTATTACAAATGTTATTATGTTTATTTTTTTATTATTTGAAAACTTTTTTGTAAATTTTATGATTTATAAAAAATCACAAAAAGTTAGCTCAAATTTATTTGAATATATATAAATAACCAGTTTGCTTCAATATATGGGAATATTACCTTACATATAAGTTAAATGAATTGGACATATCTGAAAATTTTTAAAAAAAATTTTTTTTGCTCACGCTTTCTATTCAAAATAAAATTAAAATAAAAAGTAGTTTACTACTAGTTTAATAAAAGCATATAAAGCGTATATACCAGAATGCAAAATTTCAAAATTTTTGATCCAGTAGAAATTTGCATGAGCATACCGAAAGAAATTCTGATACGCATAATATTCTAAGATGTTCCTAAAAACAAATACTTTTACATTTGAGGTAACATTTTACTTTTATAAAATAAGATCAATATAAACGTTTTATGAATTGCAATAGTGAAGAAGTAAATTTGATTTTTATGAAATACGATCAAAATAAACTTTTTATGAATTACAATGTTAAAAAAATAAATTTAACGTTTAGGAAGTGAGATGAAAATAAGCATTTTAAGAATTGCAATATAAAAGAAGTATTACAAGAATTCCTTCATATTTAGATTGATAAATTCGTTAATTCAGCATATTTTAAATTACAATTTTTTTTAATGCGCCTCTAAGTTGACTAAATTCGTCTTATCGCCACACAAATACGTAGTCGCCGCACAAAACACAAATACGTGTCTATTACGTAATTTGTTAGTAAATAAGTCTTGTTCTTTACAAAACATTAATTATCTTGTTAGGATGTTTGGTTTAATATTTTTGTTTATTTGAATAATCTTTTTTTTCATACAAACTGTCTTTTTTTCGAATGTTTACAGCAAAAAGACAAAATCCGTAAAAATATTTAATCTATTTTTTATTTTTTACCTCTAGAATGTTGTGTACTAATGTTTATACTTTAAAAAAAAAATTCTAATTTTTTTTTTGTAAATATTTGAAGACTAGTTTTCAAATTTTTTGAAACTGGCAACAAATTGTTGCAGAATATATTTTAACACTAAAGGTGTCATGGGAGACTTTATTTTATTCGAAAAAATTACTTTGCATCTACTTTTATAAAATACTTTTCCAAAATACTTTTAAAGCATACACTTTAAAAATACAAATAAAAAAAGAACTTTTACAATTATTTTCTATTTAAAAATTTATTTATTTATTTACTTTTTTAGCAAAATAAGACATATGATGGCAAGTGTTCGGTAATTAGTTGTTCTATAGCAATTGTTTGCAACAACAACCTGAATAGTTGGCGAATATATAAATGCACTGTATTAAAATATTTTTATGAATTTAAAAGAAAAGTTTAAAAGTAATTTGCATTGAAATTGAATAAAGAAATAAACAATTTTTATATTGTGATAGAGACAAATGGTCCCTTGTATCATGGTTTTGTTTATAAGCAGATTGTTCCGATTATTCGAAACGCCTCTAAATCAAGCTGATTTTAATGTTTTTCATCTTGTCCTATTCAATAGTGTTTCGACCGATTTCGGTTGTTGCGCTATTGTCTCTTCTGTGCTTGAATGTTAATTTGTGACCCAATAAAGTACACTTTTTTACTTCATTTTTTATTATATATACGAGAGTAGATCAAATATAAGTTTAACTTTTTTAATTGCTAATTATTGAAATTTTACTTTAAAAAAATACAAAAACTTTATTTTTCTACTCACTTTCCGTGAACTCTAACACACTTTTTCCAATGTTTTGAAAGTTTTTTAAACCCAGTGGTATTGAGAGAAGTAGGTTGTGCAGTGAACCAATTGCACACAAAATCTTCTACCTCATCATTGGATAAAAATTTCTCGCCCCCCTCCCAAGAGTTCTTTAAAGGGTTCAAATAAATGATAGTCCGAAGGGGCTAAGTCCAGGCTATATGGACGATGTTCAACTGTTTTCCATTGCAATTTTGACAAAAGTTTTTTATTCAGGTTTTTGATTTGCTTAAAAAATTCTGGGCATCCAGCTTGATGAGATTTTTCGATATTCCTAATCATTACGAATTATGTTTTGCATACTTTCATAACTCAACTCTGTTATAGCTCTAATTTCTCGAACTTTCCTTCGCTGGTCATTATGAATAAGGTCACGAACTTGGCCAATTTTCTCTGCCTTAAGACTCGTTATTAGTCAAGGATCATGAGAAAAGTTTTCAACTTCTTCTCGGCTTTGTTTAAATAACTTGTCCAGCAAAAATTTTTATCTTGGCCCCAGTTTGGGCTCAAAATTGGTTCAATATAGGTCCTATGAGAATATGCACCGAGCGACCGACATTAGAATGTCTATATTTTTGTCAATATTGGCCCTCGAATGGCCTACATAGAACCTATAATAACTGAATAATGAATCTAAAATATAAGTTAAATCTGACAATTCTATATAGAGAAAATGTCAGGAAAACAATGACCTTTTGAACCCTTATTAAGCTATTTGTCTAATAAGGGCCCAAGTTACTTTACTACTGAGATTGTGCCATTTGTATTCTTGAGTCTTTGGCTGGATATCATTGCCGAAGTGTGTGTGAATTTTAACAGGTTTGATGTCTTCTCTTGGTAAAAATTTTATTACTATGAGTTGTGCAACTGCATTAGGAACACTAGGCTCACTTATGTTATTAAAAAAAGGACTTACAACGAACTAAACATCGCCAAACTATTTTTACACTATAGATAAAGTTCTACTGTTGCCATGACAATGAGAATAAAATTCGTCTGGTACTATTAAAAATGTCTCATATATATTTGATCCCTCTACGTATATTAAAGAAGAATTTATCTATATAGAGCAAGCACTCAGTATGAAAAAATTTGTCTCTAAATGTTTTAAAACTACGATAAACTTTTTTATGTTTAAATACTTACATTGTAGTAAATGCTATGTGCTGGAGTTCTGCCGTGGTTGAGTGTATAATCGTAGTTTCTGTGATCAATTAGAAGATATCCATTGGGCTTTATCATCTCGTGGAAGTTTTCTATCGCTAGCTTAATATCAGACATATCCCCTTTCAAATCAAACAAATGGGCAAATGAGTTTCCCAAACAAATAACGGCATCAAAACCTCCATTTGGTTTATGGATGTCTTCTGGTAGAGTTAACCAATTAGCCTCTTCAATTACTGGAAAGAGAAAATGCAATCAATTATTATCGTTAAAAATATCAAAACCTGATTGATTATAAGAAGAAGCTCATAACAGTTAAAAAGCCTTTATTAGAACCATTTTCTTTCAAGATATTCTTCGGTAATCATACTGGATTCGATATTTCAGTTTATCTATTTTTTTCTATTTTTTCTAAAACATGGTAAATGTGTCGCCTTGTGAAAAAAAAGAAGAAATTAAAAGATAAGCAAATAATAAGGTTGAAAATAAAGATAATCTTGTAGAATTCTAAAAAATATTAAGAATTTCCAAATAAATCTTAAACATTTTCAATGCTATTGTTCTCAATTGTTACGTGTGTAATTGATATTGCTTTCCCCCAAAATATTGACACATATTTCGATGAAGATTTTGCTTCTTACTTCCTTAAATATTAAATTTTTATCTCTATTGTCATGCCTTGTTTCTTAGCTTTATTTTTGACAATGATTCCAAAAAAATATGTATATTAAGGTTAGTGTTTACAAAACACCTAGTATGTCTGGTGAAGGTATTTTTTATGTAGCCCACTTTTAATCTATGAACCAAAAATTTTGGAAAAACTGGATTTAAAGTACGTGATGATGTTTCAATTGTATCTTGAATATTATTAGAAGTTTATATATTTTTGAAACAAACAAGGGAGGGATAATAGCTATGTTTTTCACATTTTCCGCCGAAGATTCGGTATTGTTACGAAACAGAATACTCGGTAAAGGAAAGGGTTCGCTATAGATTTAAAACAAGTCTATATGATAGAAGGAGGTGAATTTAGTGCTATCCTTGCGAATGAATATTTAAAAAATTTTAAAAATGGAATAAAAGAGAACTTTGACTTTCCCAAATAATATTAAAAAGAAGGTCAAATAAACATTTGAATACCGAAACAATAGAGGTTGTTTCACATTTTTAAATAATTCCTAGAAATTCCTCTACTTAGATTTTACGTCTGTTTATATTTACAATTAGTTTAAACCTAACTACCAATCAAAAATGGTCTCGTTGTAAAAAATCACACTCTTGTCAATTTCTTCAGTAAATCATCACTTTTTACAGAACTGAGTGCTTCAAACTTAAAGAGTTGTTCTTTTTCACTTTTTGATTTTCCAGATAATTGATCTTTTATGTCTGATATCCATAAAATGCGTAAGTATTACTTTTATTTATAAATTTTTATTCTGAATTTCAAACATAAAAAAATAGTTATTTGGAGCTTGCAAAAATGTATCGGTCATTCTAAGAAAAAGTAGGAATTTTATTACTGAATTTTTTTCAGTATATGAATTTCTTTAATTCACATTTTTGATAAGTATTTGACGTATATCATATTTTATAACCGTCGTTGAACAATCTACCCAATTTTCAGCTTACGACTGCCAATTTTCAACACCGTAACCTTGTAATTTTGAATCAATTTAGAAGGCAAGGCAACTCCTGGATCAAGTATTGAGAGAAATTTGCCTTCGTGGAAGATTTCGTTGAGGAAACTAACCCGCACTTACGCTACATGGAGAGCAAAACCACAAAAACAGCCCACGATTAGCTTGATGGCAAGGGGACTACTGAGGCTATTTTACGTCAGCACTGTAGTCGATGAGAGCCGTGTGAATTCATAACAACCAGCCATTGCTGTGATTCGAACCCGGATCACCTCATTAGGATGCGAGCTGTCTATCCCCCAAACCATCATGTCTTATTTCACGTGTAATATTATTTTTGTGTTGTATGTTATATTTTCTGAAAAAAACCTTGAAGTTGCCTAGCGATTTGTTATGGGTTAAACCTGACCAGTAAAAGGAATATTTTCAAAAATTAATTTAATGTTTACTTTTTAAAAATGTTTATGTAGACCAAAATTATTTTTACATAAATCTCAGAACTTACAAACAAAAACTTTATTGACTTTTGAAATGCAAGGACAAAGTTTATGATAGAAAGCTTGAAAATAAGTATTCAATCGAAATTACTCTTGAATGCAACTTTTTTTTTCCGTAATTGCTATTGTCTACTTAGACATTTGGTGAGTGATAAAATCATTCAGATACGGTAATGGATAGAGTAATGACATTTAAAATACTTATCTATTATTAGAAGTATTATCTTTTACTTACACTTTAAAATGAAGAAAGATATTCTTAGTGCTAGCAAATATATCTCTTAATGCAAATATATCTGTACTTCAAAAGAAAAATTTGCTTCGGAATAAAAATTCAGGCATTTCATTCGGGGTGTATTTTTTTAAACATTCCCGAATGTTACTACTCGGGAGTAAATTAAATCTGTATACTTGAAAAAATAATTGTCAACAATTGATTTTCAGAAGTGTTGTTAATAATTAATCATTAGAAGTGTAGTCTTTTACGAAAACTTTGAAGTGAAAAATGAAGAAAGATATTCTCAGTATTAGCAAATATATCTGTACTTCAAAAGATAGATTTGCTTCGAAATAAAAATTCAGGCATTTCATTCGGGATGTATTTTTTAAACATTCCCGAATGTTACAACTCGGGAGTAAATTAAATCTGTATACTTGAAAAAATAATTGTCAACAATTGGTTTTCAGAAATGTTGTTAATAATTCGTCATTAGAAGTGTAGTCTTTTACGCAAACTTTGAAGTGAAAAATAAAGAAAGATATTCTCAGTATTAGCAAATATATCTGTACTTCAAAAGATAAATTTGCTTCGGAATAAAAATTCAGGCATTTCATTCGGGGTGTATTTTTTTAAACATTCCCGAATGTTACTACTCGGGAAAAAATTTAATCTGTATACTTGAAAAAATAATTGTCAACAATTGATTTTCAGAAATGTTGTTAATAATTAATCATTAGAAGTGTAGTCTTTTACGTAAACTTTGAAGTGAAAAATGAAGAAAGATATTCTCAGTATTAGCAAATATATCTGTTCTTCAAAAGATAAATTTGCTTCGGAATAAAAATTCAGGCATTTCATTTGGGTGATTTTTTTAAACATACTCAAATGTTACTACCCGGGAGTATATTAAGTCTGTATACTTGAAAAAATAATTGTCAACAATAGATTTTCAGAATTGCTGTTAATAATCAATCATTAGAAGTGTAGTCTTTTACGTAAACTTTGAAGTAAAAAATGAAGAAAGATATTCTCAGTATTAGCAAATATATCTCTTTATGCAAAAATATATGTACTTCAAGAGATAAATTTGCTTCAGAACAAAAACTCAGGCATTTCATTCGGGGTGGGTTTTTTAAACACACCCGAATGTTACTACTCGGGAGTACATTAAGTCTGTAAGCTTAAAAAAATAATTGTCAACAATTGATTTTCAGAAGTGTTGTTAATAATTAATCATTAGAAGTGTAGTCTTTTACTTAAACTTTGAAGTGAAAAATGAAGAAAGATATTCTCAGTATTAGCAAATTTATCTCTTTATGCAAAAATATATGCACTTCAAAAGATAAATTTGCTTCGGAACAAAAACTCAGACAGTTCATTCGGGGTGGGTTTTTTAAACATACCCAAATACTACTCGAAAGTATATTTAAATTTAAGCTGAAAAATCGAAAAAATAACTAATTCTTAATAATTAATTATTTAAAGTGTAGTCCTTTACGTAAACTTTGAAGTGAAAAGTGAAGAAAGATATTATGAGTATTAGCAAATTTATATCTTTATGCAAAGATATATTTACTTCAAAAGATCAATTTGCTTCAGAACAAAAACTCAGGCAGTTCATTCGGAGTGTTTTTTAAACATACCCGAATACTACTTGAGAGTATATTTAAACTGAAAAATTGAAAAAATAACTAATTGTTAATAATTAATTATTTAAAGTGTAGTCTTTTACGTAAACTTTGAAGTGAAAAGTGAAGAAAGATATGAGTATTAGCAAATTTAGTTCTTAATGCAAATTATCTCTTAATGCAAAACATAAATTTGCTTCAGAACAAAAAACGTACCCGAATTTTAAACATATCCGAATGTTACTATTCGGGCGTATATTTCATCTGAAATATTTTAAAATAATAATTAATGCTCTATTGTCTCACCCCATTTGTCAAATCCTGTTTCATTACGTCGATTCCAACGTTCTCTAATAGCATACTTAAGCATTTTATCACTAGCATCTACACTCATCATTTTAAAGCCTTCTTCTACAAGCATTATAGAGTCAATACTGTAAATGTAAATTACATAATAAAATATAAAATTTGAATAACAAACAAAATACAAATGCTGTAAAAAAGAGATTTAAAAGACTTAAAAAGATTTAGAACTTGTTTCATTGTTTTTAAACTAGTAACGTCATATTAAACATATAATTTTATTGTTTTTAAGCTAGTAACGTCATATTAAATAAATAATCCCAAGAAACTGAAGCTGTAAGGTATTACTTGCTTGAAAACTTCATTCGATTCAGAAATAAACAAACATGAAATAACGGTCGGCATGTTTCGAACGCTTCTTTTTTTATTCTTCCGTTTGTGAAAAAATTGCTAATATCCTCTCCTTTTTGGTTTTAAAGTCATTTTCAGGCCTTAACAAAATCAAATTTAAGTATCTTAAAGATCCTATTAGCTTTGATAATCGCTGGGGCATTTACCACATTCCATGTTGGAATCTTGGGTATAAATTAAATTTCGACAATGCTAAAAATAATTTCCACCCCAGTTACATCAGCTCATCTTGATGTCCTGGAATCTTGTTTTATTCATTTGAATGCTGATTTCTTTGTTAACGACATTAGTTCCTCCTCTTCTCGCCATAACGCATTTTACCCTGATTTGCATCTCGGCCACTGTGATTTCTCTTGTTCTGTTTTTCATCTTTCTTTTCTCTCGGCTTCTGTGGTTTTTCCAGTTCCACCTTCATTTTTACATTTTCCTTTGGCAACTTTACGTTTTTTATTTTAAATCAGTCTTTTCATTCACGTCTGGCAAATCTTGAAAATTGATGCCTATTTTTGAAGAGCTTGAAACATGTCGACTGTTATTTCATATTTGTTTATTTCTAAAGTGAAGGAAGTTTTAAATTAGATAATAGTAGCATCACAACTTTTTCCTGGGTAGTAATGTGCTGAAAAATATTATGCTTGTAGGAATAAAAAAATTCACTTAAAAAAAAAAAATTCAAATATTTCGCAAATTATAGAGTTCAAGAAATTATCTGGTGTAAAATAACGCGATTACTCCGTCAATTTATCGAAGAGAATAGTCATTTGATAAGATAAGAAAAACGGGCGTTGTGTGGCATTACTCAGATCAAGTCGATAATACTATTCATTAGTAATGGGAGCAGGGTTTCAAGGTTGTCTCGCAATTTGCCCAAAATAACTTTTAAGTTTATATGTTTTTTTTATCACATTTATTCTATGTGTTTTCGCATTTATCAAAAATTTCTTTCCTAATTTGAATTTGACTATCTATTTTGTCTAAATTGAAAAAAAAAACTCAAACAACTCTGAGATGGATTTTTTCATTATTATTATGCACTGTAAAAAATTCCTCAGAAAAAAAGTTGAATATCAATTTGCTTAATTGCAATTTTGACATATTCAAACAAAACAGGCAAATAACCATAAATAAGATGGTATTTATACTATTAACTGTGAGAAGAAAAACAATTTATTAACTGCTTTCACTTAATAAGGATAAATAACCAGAATTTTATCGCACTAATTAAGCCCATCTAACGAAGCCACTTAGTTCCTTGCAGCTGGGTGAATTTTATAGCCGAGAGGGCTGATCTGTCAATCTCATGACCGACAGAACCGGGTTCGAGTTCCAACGTTGATACCACAGTATTTATTCCATTCCCTTTGGCACATGTATAGTTTCCAGTGTCCTGCTGTCCTCAATTTGTAACTATGAACTATTTGAATACGATTATTTCATTCACATATCGATGGCAGCATCATAAAGCTGCTTAACACAAATAAATCCAGTATTTTTCATCTTTTACGAAAGGATAAACGACCAGATAAACTAATCAAACCACATTCCATGTTTCATTTGATATAAAACGACTCAACCACTACCTGACTTTAATGCCCATAACCTAACGAAGCGCCTAGCTCCACTGACCAGTCAAATTTATTTTTTATGGGTTTCTAACCATGCTAGTTGTAAATGGTTCGAAAACCATATGGTTTTGTATTCATATTTTTTTGACCATATTCATTATAAACGATTTCAAAACCGCAAAGGTAAAAAATATCCTTTACCTTAAGCTTTACTGTTAATTGGATGGTTAGACTGCAACCGGTTATTTTACTGCAATTTTAGAATTAAAATTCTAACAGTGTGTTCGGAATATCTTAGATGCACGTGGAAGGGAATTATTTTGAAAATGGACTATTTTAACTGTTAGGTTTTGATGGAAGTAGATTTTTCGAAAATATTAATGTTTGATAAATGCTTCCGATTTGGTGTTAAATTCGTTCTCATTTATTTCTTGTTATGAAGTTGTTTTGTATTCGTCTTGAAATATATATTAACTATTTATAATATTCGTACAAAAGAAATAAGAGAATTGTAGCATTTCTTATTTCACTGATCTTTATTAACTGTTAAGGAAGTACCAAAAAAGTAAGGTAATTTACTAAATCATGCATCTTGACAGCTTCTTTAGCAATGTTGTGATATTACTCTTTTTTACAAGAGATTAAACATTAAATATAAATATTTAAAATTTTAACAGACAGGCTAAGGGAAGAGCAAATCTCTTCTTTACTGTCTGATGCAATAGGGTTAATGATTTATCAAAGGGTGTTTTGCTAAAAATCAGGTTAATCTAGCTAACCTAATGACACAAATCGCTTATTTAAAATAATTTGGCTTAAAGAAGAATAACCCCGAAAAGATGTAAGAAAATTAAAGCAAACATGTAACGGAATTAATTTTTATGATTATGTCTAATCAGTACTAGAAAACAAGTCTAAAAGTAGAATATGCTTGATGTTCGTGCCTATATTTAAACATTAGTTAGTCGTTATATTTAGGGTAAATCTAGGATAAATGTCCTTAGAGGAGAGTTTGCCAATTTAAATATCTTCAATATTTCTCATGTTGCGGCAGATGCAGTTCTTCAGAAAGCATTTTAACTTGCTTATTAATTTGAACTAAAACAATATTTGATTTTTTTTTATTTAGGTATTGAAATATTTTTCTGAATTAAGTATTTGTTGTTTTTCAATATGTTGGTTATATTTTTTCAAACTAGCTGGACATTAAAGGCTCTTATATATTCCAATCTTTGTTTCTGAGAAAAATGTAAAGGAATATTCAATTTTAGGTGAGATGGCCTAGTACAAGAGAGAAGTGATGGCCACTTCTCATTAATGCGTATAGACATGTCAAGGATCGTAGAAATTTTAAAAATTTAAAAAGAGGTGAAAAAAATTATGATGTATTTTAATAAATTCGTATTCATCACCACGATTAATTTTCTCAAATAAATAAATCTCGGAATCTTTGGTTTCCTTAATGGTTTTTGTATGGTTTCATTTCATTTGATTTCGTAATTTCATGATGAGCAAATAAAAATAAATCCTTAGCTTTCTCATTACAGTTTTAAAATAGCTTTTTAGAATTTTTTAAGGTCCGGGCAAGCCTTATATATCTCACTCCGATTCTACAGACATAACATATTGTCCCTAATCCTATCCTCGATAGAACTTACATATTATCTAATTCTACAGACTCAGAATTTGGTGAATATCAGTTGTGTTAGCTGTGGGGAGGAATACAATACTATAAGTAAAAATGACGACTGGAAAAGATGTGTAAGAAGCATGCAGTGGCTCCATGAAACATGTACAAACTTTGAAACCCTTTGTCAAAAATGTTATTAAATCTATACATCAAATCTATATATTCGATTTTTCTTATTAATTTCTTTTTACTTGTTTTCCATGACAAAATCCATTCTTAATAACTTATTGAAAGCTATTTATGGTTAACTGAATGAAATGTGTTACTTTTCATGTTTACTTTTCCTTTACTCTATTGAGCGGCCAATTCACTTCAACGTTAAGGAGAGATAACCAACTGTAAGTTTTTTTTTTCAAACATTTTTTCTTTCATACTTTGTTCTCAATATTTCTTTGTTTTCAATTTTGTTCAAAATGTGTTGAGTGCGTGCAGGAGAATTTAAAATGTGATGAAACATTTCTTGTATCTCTCTATTCGTATAGTATTTCTGTTTCGATTTAAATAAAATATGGTCATTTTTCCTAGGTTTACCCTACATTAAGAATGTTATCAGAGAATTAAATAGACTTTTATGAGTTTAATAGGAAATATGTAATGCCCATAATGACATAAAGTACGTATTTTCAAAAATTTGCGAGTAAATATGTAATGCCTGTAATGGCATAACGCAAGTATTTTCAAGAATTTGCGAGTAAATATGTAATGCCTATAATGGCATAACGCACATATTTTCCAAACTGTGTGAAAGTTTCTTTCATAATATCGATAAAATTATTAAGTTTAACTTTTTATTTAAAAAAAAAATTATAAATAAGATGATGTACATCATTTAAACTGTATAAAGCTTAATATCAGGTATACTATTATTTCATTATATACTGAAAAGTTTATATGAATATTTAAACTTTATACGAACAGGATAATAAAGAAATAAATTTCTTGATCATCTCGTTGTTGATAGGAGTAAATATTGTTGTTAACTAAGTACTTTATTGTAATTAAATCTTGCAAAATATGCATAAGTGCATTGACAGTTAGAAAAATCTATCTAATCAATCTAAAAAAAGTTCTCGTGTACTTAAAGTCACGAGAGAAGAGATACGATACGCACATTTTTTTTCATGATTTAGGAATTATCATAAGTGATGATGAGTTAAGAACTCGTGGATGCACGTTATACATTGCGTTCACGAGTCCTTAGCTTCAATAGATAAAAAATCATTAAAAAAATCGTAAGTGAGCTCACGATTATTGTCTATATTGACAAAAAAAATAGGATGGTAAATAAATGCGTAAATCGAATTGATAACAAATCTCTTGAGAATAAATGTCATGATCCGAGATTGATAACCTCTTATCTTGCGTCGGTCTGTCCTAACACTTATGACATAATAATAGAAAGAGGAGATGCTTCTCTATTATTTAATTGCTTGTTTATCGTAGTTGAATTTATGTTATTGAAAATCCGAAATTGGACAAGATGATTTGTCTAAATAAGGTCACATACCTCTTAAGATTCCGTTTCGAAAAATAAAATCCTAATTGGAAACGATATCTTTATTTAGAGAAATGATTACATAAAATGGTTATTTTTCGATAATTTAAGGAAAAGTGATATTAATTTTTAGAAAACAGTTATTAAGGGAAATGGATTAATACTTATATTATTGGCCAAAGATGGTGAGCCTTTTCCGATTAGAGTGTTAGTTACATTAAGGTTTATTATTTTTAGGCATCGATTCCTTCCCTAGTTATACATATAAAAAATTTAATCTGTAAGATACTGCTTTGATTTCGGACCATTGAATTACGTTGTGTAACTCCATTTCAGTTATTTATTAAATAACTTTAATTCTGGAACAAGGTTTTTTTCTTACAATCGATTGTATAGAATTTATTCTCTCAACTTCTTACAAATGTGCTATTTTTCCTCAGGCTGTTTTGCAAGTTTTCATTGCTCCTGTTCTCATTGCAAGTTTTTTTTCCTCCGTAATTTATAATTTAATTTGGGTTCCCTTTTCACAACACACCGCAAGCACGTATTCCCCCCCCCCAAAAAAAAGCCTGTCTTCTCAACACTGTAAAAAACCCTGGATCAAATTACGGTTCAAAGTACCGGCAATTTGAATGAATCATCCGTGAAATCCATTTTACCGTAAAATCAATTTTTACCTTAAAATCCATTTTTACGGAAAAACAGGTAAATCGGTTACCTGGTAAATATAGGGCAAAATTAGGAAAGTTTGTTACTGGCCAGAGGCCAGTTGTAATGCTTTTAATGGCAGTCACTTTTTGAAACATGTGGCCACTCTCTCAAAAATGAATATTTTGCACGATTAAAAAAACTGTAAATATTTATAATGCATTGTAGAAAATTCCGGATCAAATTAAGGTATAAAGTATCGGCACTTCGTAAAATCTATTTTTACCGTAAAATATTATACCATTAATTTTACAGAAATATTTAAATAATTAGAGCAATTTAGTGATATTACGGTAATTATTACTGTGAAATTACGGTTTATCAGATCTTTTGCTCCGTGGCATGTTTTTTTAAAAGTGAATTTTACGGTTAAAAATACTGGCATACTGAGTGCCGATACTTTTTACCGTAATTTGATTTGAATTTTTTACATTGTTGACATAGACTTGCATAGTTGAGGAGGCATAACTGATACAATAGTAAACCTTGCGTCTTAGAAAATGTCATAATTGCTCGCAAAATCGTAATTGTTTCTAAACCTAGATAACCACTAGCATTGGAATATTCTTTTTATTTTGAAATGTTCTACTCAGTAAATGTAATTAAATAAAAGTAAGTTAATCTAAACTTTTTCCGTGCCACCAAAATACATGTTATGTGCCATTTAGTGGCACTCGTGCAATGAGTTCGCTATCCCTAAACAGAGTGTTTCGGCGGGGCTTAGAATTATCACTGAATTAGCTTTAAATTAGTATTGTTAATTTTCGTCTGTACCAATATAACCTATAAAAACATTGCATTCTAACCTCAGCTATATAATCAAAATAAGTTATCATGACTAATAGTTAATATTTTTCCTAAAACTCTTATATCTCTGTAATATCTCTTTGCAAACTTTAAAAGGCAAATGATAAGTAATTGCTTGATTAATGAATGTCAATTGATCTAGTTCAGCATCGCTTTATACGTCTCTATATGTAGTCAATTTTTAAAGAAAAGTATTTTTGTATGAAAAACTGAATTATTTAAATATTATTGTTTTTAACTATAGTGAAATCTGAAGCAGAATAACATATGAAATATAATGAATTTCAATGTATTGAAATGTAATAAATACTTTTCTTAAGGAAATGCAGTTGAATACAAAATTATCTTACGGATAAATATGTATTAAAAAGGATTTTTTTTCAATTAGCAGATTTAATCTGAAATGATAATTAAGTATTTAGGGCATACTGCTATACCTAGTTAAGTCTAGTAAAACATTGCTTGGATGAGATTTATTTGAAAATTTAATGCAACAGAGAATTGATCTAGATATTAATAATAATAGCAATATCTAGGATATCTAAAATTTTAGGAAAGGATATATAACACGTATGCAATCCTAAAACATTAGGAATTGAATACGTGTAAAACAAGAAGAAAATATATTTTTTTCTAAGTTTACGTTAGCTTTTAAAAAATTTAAATTATTTATCAACATATTTTAAATGCACAAATGCTACTTAACAAAATTTTGACTGAAAATTTCATTTACAATTTCGACAGTAAAAAGTATGAATATAATCTTTTCAATTCTTGCTTTTTTTATTTATTGTAATTTTAATTTAAAAAGCAAGGCAGCGCCAGATTTCACACTGCACAGAGAAAAAAAATCTGATAAAATTACCTTATTGCATGATAATGATATTTCTGGAAAAAAGACCCATCATTCTGGTTAATGAAACTAAAATGTAGGGTACTTAAATCATTCATTTTTTGCAATTTTTCCATGTACAATCCATGTACATGACTGCAAATTTCACCAGTTTAATGAAATATAATATTTGAAGATTTTAAAAATGATGGTTTCTATAGTAGACTACGTAAGTTACACTCCTTTTTATCCCAGATTATTTTTAAAAAGTTTAATAATAAACAATTCACGTCACTGTAAAAAGGCCTGCTGGTCGTGCTTTTTCGTTGGTCAGAAATAAACCGAGCTTAAGAAAGTTAAATAGTCAGCAATAATGGACATTAAATGAAAGACAAAAGACGGGAAAACCTATATAGCATTGAGCAATTTCTTTTTTGTATCACTTATTTAAAAATTTAAAAATCTGTAATGGATTAAAAATATACCATTATTTTCAAGACTTTTAAAGCAGTTAAAAGTTGTCAGCTTTAAAATTAATTTTGTTTGGACTAATTAAGTAGAAATAATTCTCTAAATTATTTTTAACAGTAAAAAAACATCGAAGTGAAGAATAAGAAATAACCAAATATGCTTATTGAATTGACTAATAGCCTTGTATATTAAGTATTCTGTGCTTCAGTTTACTGAATGTATAATACCAATGCAATTCTAATATAAATTATCGATATATCAAATTAATAATAGCTATAGTTAACATTAACATGAAATAAACATATAAAAAAGTATATTTTTAGAGCAGTGCTTTGCATTCATGTTTTAATTTAAAAATTTTTAGTAAACAATTATTTTAATTTAAAAATATCTATTTTCATTTCTATGGAGAATTACTAAGCAATTTGTCATTTAAATTGTAAATAAATAAAGATAAATAATTGCAATGAACTAGCAAAAAAGAAAAGTACGATAAACTTAGGCTACTGCATATTCGACGTTTTAATTTTTTGCATGCTGGACAAATTAACTGATTTCATAGAAAATGCATATTTCTTGAATTGATGATACTAATTAAAATACTGATGAAACCAACTGATAAATATTAATAATTCTTACCCAGTGCCACAAGCAACATCTAAAATCTGATGACAGTTATGCTTTCGTAAAAGTTGAACTAAAAATTCTCGATAATGCTTTGTACGATCATTTTTTTCGCCTATATAAACTTCCCAAACCTTCGCAGCTTTTCCATCAGCATATTGATCCGGTAAACCTTCTGTACCAACTCCTAAAGAGCGAGGACGAAGAACTGTGTCTGCCATTTTGGGCATTAACTTCCAAAATCTAAAATTTTAAATTCGATAAATAACTTTTTTTTAAGGGAGAAAATTTATTTTCCAACGTTTAAAGATTTTTGTCTTTCGTTTTCATATTTATAAGGTTAATTTACGTCATATAGTGTTTACAAGATTGAGGGGTGTTGATTATCAGTACATTGATAACCAGGACAAAGCACTAAATGAAGTAGCTTTTCCCGAAATTGTGCAATCATCAGTAAGTATGGATGGGTCACAGATCGGGGGGGAAAACATTTTTGCTGAATTTTTCGTCTTAGTATTTGTTTGAATTATTGCAAAATATTTTAGATATAATGTTATCAGGCTAAGATAATCTCAGTTTACGTTAGGGGTCACATTTGACATTTATTTTGAAGATGTTAAATTCCGTTTCTAAAATTCGTGCTTAGCAACAGATATACACCAAAGTTCAAAAATAATAACATTCGTATCATCGATATTTATTATACATTTAAATGACCAATTTTACATTTTTTTAAATTTTTATCTAACCATAGATATTCTCGAAATAGATATCATAAAGTATTTTACGTAAATAAATGTTATTAGTTGCTTTTAACTCAGTATATTATCGGTATCACCAATGATTAGATACTGACAAGAACTTACTATAAAATATAATTTTATAGCAGATTGTTTGACCGATAGATCATTATCACCCTTATAGTGCAATTACGAGTTTCAAACGAAGTTCAATAAAATAAATTTTTAGAAAATATATTTCTACCTTCATCCGTCGATAAAAAAAGGTTCTTTTATAGTTAATTTAATTTATCGTAATTATTAATCGTAATTATTTTAAATGACTATGCTAAGAAAATTAGTTAATTCTTTACAAAACAGAAACAAAAATATACACTGACTAAAAATAAAAATTATGCTGAAAAATATGGTCTCAATAGTTTATTCAAAAAAGTTGGTTGGAGCCTCTTAAGAGTACTCTATATCGATGGAAAAACTTTTCATAGCAAATTCTTCTCCACCTCAATAAATAACTTAAAATTTAAAGTATTGAAAAAGCGAGTTCAGACAAATCTGGAGTAACTAATGAAGTTTCAGTTACTCAAAATAAATTTCAAAATATCAAAATGCAAACAATTTATTGGAAGAAAACTTCTCCATTGCGTAATCCTAAGCTATTATCCCAAAACTTGTTTGTATTTTGATATTTTGAAAATTTGTTTTCAGTATTTGAAACTTCGTAGTCTATATCACGAGTTAAACTTTTCTTCACAAATTTTGTTTCACTTAGATAATTAATTTAAAATTTAAAGTACAGAAAAAATGAGTTCAGTGAGACCTAAAGTAAACCATGAAATATCAATTGTTGAAAAAAAACCTTCAGGTTATCAAAACTCAAAAAAATTATTGGTAGAGTACTTAAGTAACTCCGGGTAAATATCTATATTTATATCTATTTATTATTTTTTACTACTTAATTTAATATGATTCTGAAAACTTTTGATTTGTAAGACATACAGATTTTTAAATTATTTTAAATTTTATATAATTTTAAATTAGAAAATTCAAAATCTTAATTTAATCGACCGAATAATTTCTGAGAAATAAAATTTTGAAAAAAACGCATGCTTTCAAATTATTATTTCTAAATAACTATTTGACTGAATTCAATTTGAATTTGTCGCTCGAAATTATATTGTTTAAAATAACGGGAAAAATTCCAAATCTGTTTTACCATCGAAAAAGATTAAATAAAGATTAGAGTAAATAATAAAAAATAATAATAAAAAATATTAAAAAAATGTACGAACAAAAATTTTATTGGATAAAAATTACCTTTGGATAGAAAAGAAAATATGATTCTTTTAAAATATATTTAAATTCGCTTTACTAGGTCTAGATATATGGTAAAATATGTAGAAAAGGAAATTAACATAAGGGCTCCAAAATTTCAACCTCTCTTCCGATTTAACTAATTGGAATCATGTTTTCTAGATGGCTGTTCCTTTTCATGTTAAGGATCGAAAATCTAAATTCGTCGAAAAAAGGCATATTTATTTATAGTAGATGCATTTTTGTGTTTTAATGACGGAGAATTCCATTAGGATAATTAAGCTTGCTATTATGATTGCATTTTAAAACAGAAAAATTCGATCTCTAGAAAAAAAGCTATTAATGTGTTCTACTTTATATTTTGAGCACTGTTCATTGACCTACCGCTGCTTAGCGACACTGTTATAGGGCATGAGGTCAAGTGTAAAATAAGCACTAATTTTCCAAAACTGCATCGTAATCTCGTAAAAATTATCTTTTTGACAATCTGCATTGAAAATATTTTATAGAGGAGGCAATTAAATTGAATCGTGAATAAACAAAGATGTAAACAAAGTAGAAAAGATTCTCTCTCTCTCTATCTATCTCTCTCTTTCTTTTCTTCTCTTCTTTTCTTCTCTTCTTCTCTTCCTTGTTTGAGCAAAATTACTGAAGCCCGTTCAACCTCTTGCATCTCAAACGATTTTTACTTAGAAATGTGCTGATGAATATAATGAAATATTTTTTTTGTTGAAAAAAATGTAATAAATTAAGCTATAGTAACTGTTTTTGTTAATTTTGAATTGTTACATAAAAAAGTGATAAATGTAAATTTTTAGCATATTTTATATGCAGTAGGATATTTTTATGGCGTACTTCTTCACATTTTGGTGATAAAGCGAAATTCACTAAACTCAAATAAGATATTCATATGGCCTAAAACTGTCCAAAAGGTTACTTGAAACTAGCATCTTACATTTCTCATTTTTCATTGTAAATAAAAAGTTCCAAACAACGAATATAAATTCAATTGTATTTTTTGTATAAGCAATCGCTTTGTAAAGATGCGCAAGTAGAAAAATAAATCTTGAAACGCTACTTTTTATGTCATAAAATTTTAGCAAATATTGCAAATTTTATTGGACGCTGAATCTCAAAAAAAAATTATAATAATAAATAAATAAAAGAGTGGTCATTATTTTCTGACCAAATTCGTATAATTTTCAGTATCAAATTTCAGTGTTTAGAACAATTCTCAAAAATTAGTTCCTTTACGCGAAACGGCCAGTGAAGGGGTCAGGGAACGCATCAGAAAGGTTCTGGGTTTGAATCGCAAGCAAGGCATGGATGTTATTTCATTCTCTATACTATCGGTCCTTACGGTGGGAGCAACGTTGGCCCACCTAATATATGGTGCCCCTGGAAAAAGTGGCCAGCGAATCTGCCTTTTAGATGCCTGTATGACATAGGTCATTCCCCAGGCTGTCATTGGAGAAAAAAAAGTTCTTTTTGCACTCGTGCATTGATTTAACGTCCCGCAGTGGACTGATCGTTAAGACACGGTTCCCAGCAGATCACCGAAGTCAAGCATCACTGGCTACGGTCAGTGTGCGGGTGGGTGACCACTTGGATCAGTCTGCGTAGGGACCGAGGGTGTGCGGTATTGNTTAATTATTGGTGATCTTGTCCTCATTTCGGATGATAATCTTCCACCAACGAAATGGAAACTTGGTCGAGTGATCTCTGTGCATCCTGGACATGATGGAAAAGTTAGAGTCGTGGCATTAAAAACAGCTGAGGGCATGACATCAAGAGCTGTTACAAAACTTTGCAAACTTTGAACATTTGACTTTAAATTCATTAATTCAATCAAGAAGTCCTGTATAAACTAATTTTACTTATTATTAATTAATATGTTTTTTGTTCATTTCAGATTTTATGTTGTAATTTGAAAGCTCTTAAAGCTTTCAAGGTGGGCGGCATGGAGCAGCGCCATCTGTAACTTTTGAGAAATGCGCATGCGCTCAATGAACGAGAGAAGAAGAATGTATGTAACCATCAACGAGAGAACATCTTCTCATTATCATAACTAAAAATAAAGTTATTTGTTATTGTTTATCGAATCGTTCAATCAACATCCATCGAATTGACAACACTTTTTGTTTATTTCGATACAACTTAAAAAATTTTTTGAGAATATAAAATATGCCCTGATGTATCATTGAGATGGCCACTATATAAAGCTTTCTAACTTTCCTGGATTAAGGCATACAATTGTGGTGACTAGAACGTCCTTCTACGAACCCGGGAGTTCTTGGTTTGGAGCCTTTTGGCAGTTAAGGAACATTTTTCCCGTCACTTGCATTTTGCTAACAAAAATGAGCACATGCTATTCACTTTAAATGCATGATTGCTGCTGTTGCAGTTCATTTACGTCGCACTAGAGCTGCACAATAGGCTATTGGCGGCGTTCTGGGAAACATCCCTGAGGCTGATCCGAGGACATGCCATCACAATTTTGATCCTCTGCAGAGGGGATGGCACCCCGCTTCGGTAGCCCGATTACCTACACGCGAAGTCGAGCATTTTACGGTAGAACAGTTTAACGAGGACCAATACTGCGCACCCTGGTCCCTACGCAAACTATTCCAAGTGGTCACCCACCCGCACACTGACCGCATCCAGTGATGTTTGATTTCGGTGATCTGCTGGGAACCGTGTCTTAACGATCAGACCACTGCAGGACTTAAATACATGAAGTTTCCAAATTCGACTATTGTTTGTTTCGTAAGCAATTTTAACACTATTTTATTCAGTTTTGAGAAACCCTATTTTACCAGTGTAGTTACTGTCAATATAAACACAACAGATCCTAATTTATAATCGACTGCAAACTGTATTAAAAATACTTGAATTTTGTCTTTAATTTCATACACTGTTAAATTTTTTCAATGGGTTGAACCATTATATCGTTCAAAATAGATACAACCGAGATACGGTGATATTTGAACCATATATTATCATGCTTCTTGAATATAATTGCACTATACTGTCGTTGAGCTCGCACTAAAATATGGTTCAATTTAACGCTTTATTCAAAGGTTAAAACAACTTTCTGTAGTATTTCGCTTCAATGTAACAATAATGTAAGTTAACGTTTAATTGATTTTATGCCTTTTTGTTGATTTAGACATTGTTTTTAATTGTGAACTATTTCTCGTTCATATTATTATATGACATTTTACTGAGAAATTGAATCTTTGGCTTAAATGGATTGAAATAAAAATCATGCGTTTTGAAGGTCGAAATGTTTACTTTGCTCCTTAATTTAAGAAGTTTTTTTTAAATAGTTTTTTTATATTGAGTTAATTAAGAGATGTGTGTATTTATAACCGCTATTATGAGCAG